TTTCAAAAATCTGAAACTACTACATTTATAGAAGATACCTTTAATTTGTGCCAACCAATCACTACCGAGTTGGATCGTCAATTAAGTGAAGCTAGTTGTTATTAGACGAATGTTATGTTATTGATATTAACCAAGCAAAGACAGGTCTAAGCAAGAAGTAACAAATCGACTATTCTTTTTAACTTTATCTTTGTATTCAAGATGAATGTTCTTTTTGTTTCAAAAGTATGTTAAGATCTTCTCACTCCACTTAAAAATCGATCTTTTTTAATATTCATTCGATTTCTAATGAGATCTTAAGCAATTGTAGTCTATAGATTAGGATATTTTTTCCGTTAATTTATGTACTCCTTTTAAAAGATATTCATCGAGTTTGAGTCATGTATAGTTCGTTAAGCAGAACATTTTATATGAGATTTTATTGTCAATACATCTTTTTTTTATTTGTTCTCTAAAACATATTCGAGCGAAGAATCGTACAGCATGTTTCTTTAAAACTGTTACATTTTGATACGACACCGAATCTGAGAAGGATTGTAAAAACAAATCTCAATATCGAAAAAATTAATCTTTTCGCTGTGTCTTCAAATGCCCTTGGAATCTCAAAAACGTTTTTTGCAAAATGCGAATTGCTTGACAAAAATATATTTTATGCCAAAAAGCAGCTCCGTGCAGTTTTACGGCAAAACATACTTCTTCGAATGAAAAAAAAACAAACAAACCATGAATAATCGCCTTTTAGTGTTGCTTATTTAAGGATTTCGGATGCCCTTTGTAAAAAAAAAACAATTATAAATTGTGACTTCTTATCATAAAATGATTCTTTTTGATACAACGAGTTAAAAGATATGTAAACATACCACCAAACTAATGATAATGGAATTATTTATGCATATGTTGTAGCGTTTATCCTACCATATATGTATATATCTCCAAACTGTGTATATTCAATAGTAATCTGTTTATATTAAGTGTGAGTGAAGAGTGCTTTAACTTCTTTTTTTTCTGTAATTAACCGTTTGATAAAAAAAACAATTAAATTGAATGTTTCTAAAACTATTTTATCCAAATAAATCAAAATTTTGATCATAATATGATTGATGTAAAATACTGACTGTATACAAAAAGTAATCGCGGAGATGCTTTTTATTTCCTTAATAACAGGTTTAAAGACTTCCTTTAAATAGGTTCCATAGTGAATACAATGTGTGACTGAACCTATAAATAACGAGAAAAGTAACAGTCACATGCATACTCATACTCTTCTGTTTTGTACAGTAAAAATTTGCAACATACCAGATTCTCATTACAAAATAATTCAGATTTATAGATCAAAATATTTTTGTTTGAACAAAAGGTGATCGATTTAATATTCATCTGGAAGGTTACACTAGCAATAGAACACATTTCTATCGATTCTAATTATATTGCATTTTTTTTTCAAAAATTTCACGTAATATTTGATAAACAAAATCTTTTCACTGTTTGCACATTAGTATGTTATGTACATAAATGTTTGCATATTTTATTGATAATTACTTATCATTTTACTATCTTACTAGGTTAGACAAAAAAACCTTAGTCAGAAAGCTTCTATGTCACCTAAAAATCTTCGATTTTGTCCATAGATGTAATTGTTTTTAAAATAAGATCAACTTATCATATTCTAATATCTATGTTCGTCTAATAAATTAGAAGAAAAAAAGTCATAAAGAATTATCTAGACCCTATATAAAAAGTTATTTCTATAACGTAAATTGATAATAAAGAAAAACTTTAAAATTTATAATTTGTCGAAAATATTTTCAAATTTTTATTATTGAAAAAGAGTCATCACTGTATTGATCAGGTTTTTTAGTCTAATTACTAATGTAAAAGAGCAATTTGCATGAATAACATCAACAAAGAAGGCATTGGTGAAGTAAAGCTATGGATATTTTAAAATCAAGGCATTTTTTTTTAAACTCCAAGTTCATCTAATTTCAATAATCTACTATTATAATTCAGGAAGACATCATAGCTAATATGATACTAATTAATAATGTAAAAAATTTAAGCGAGTGTTTTTTTTTCGTTCTCGAAGTCAAAAACTTAATTAAGTGTACAAGGAAATGCTTCATAAAAAAAGTCCTTTTATATTGATAACTAGAATTTCAATACCTCACAAATCAAATAATTCGGTCCGAAGACATTAGTGATACTTCAAATTTGTTAGTTTTGATATTGAGAGTATTATTTTGACCTCAATATGTTTAATATTATTAACTTATGGTATAAAGCCAATCATTTACGACTATATTAATTTCGACCAAGATTCTAATTTAATTTTTTTCTCAAATAATGGTACATGACATTTAGTTTTGGATTGGTTTATCAATAACATAAATACGATGACTCAACTATATCAATTTCTTCGGAATTTTTATATTTTCATACGAAAACATTTGCATTGTTTCATCCTGTTCGGTAAGAAGAACCAAAGTCACCTGAAAAATAAAGAACAAATACCCTTCGCATCGAAGAAAAAATTGCCTGACAATGCTTCTCTTATTCGAATTCTTAAGTGTCACAAGGAGAAGCAATGTTACTAAGACATCAAAAAATAAAAATAGAAAGAGCAAGATAAATAACAGGCTCTGTGTAAAAGCGTGGTTTTTCCAGTCACAGCAAAATTACTTTTAAGTGCTTGATGCGTGGCACTTACAGCTTACTTTTTTTTCGGTTGAAAACAAAAAGATGTAAATATATATTAGTATATAATTTCAAATTCATAATTTAAAACATGCTATGTTTTTTTTAAGGATAAACACTCAAAATAAGGGAGATGATTGTAATCCAGAATATGGTAAGTCTAATAAAATTCGTCAAATATTATATAATTTAATATTAATTATCGATGTATGAGATTGAAAAATGTGAAAAGAGTTTATTAGTTGTTAATAAGTAGTATGATTCATTCAAGACTAAAGTTCTTGTATTTACTCATATGAGATGAAGACCGAGAATTTACATGAGGTCAAAAAAAGAATTTCTCCAAGTGACTTTTAACGAATTTTAAAGTATAACCCAAAAAAGCAATAAAAAGAATACGATATTTACTTATTGATAAAACTAAACTTCGATAATTAATAGGAGAATCTACATTAACTTTGACACATAAGATTAATTCGATTTGATATTTGATAAATTATTTTTATTCATGTTTTATTTTCTTTCGTCTATAGACAATTATCCTGTGTTGGTAACACCATCGCTAGGAAATATGAATGATAATGCAGAGCATAATTTAACAACAGAATTGACTGGTCAGTATCATTGACGATTATTTATGTGCTATTTACAAATTTTCTGTGTTTTTATCTGCAGAAAACGAAAAATGTTGTGCTAAAAAATTTGATAAGTTGTGTTCTGATGTATCTGATTTCTACAATAGCGTAACAAAGAGTGTATCTAACAACATACAACAATCTACTGAACAATCTGATGATTCTTCAGTTGATTCAACAGTTAACAACGAACAAGGCTCAGCAATTGCAGATAATATTCGAGTTAAAAGTATGTTGTTTTCAATAATTTTATCAATTGTTTCTGAATTTATTCTCGTTTATATTAAAGAATTCCTCCGAGTTTATAAACATAGATGAAAATACGATTGAAATAGTATAAAGACAATAAGGTTACAGCATAAAAGAATTTTTTCTTATTATTAGATACTAAATAGCTCTCTGATACAGATGTGTGCTAGGTAAGCTTTTTCTTAACATTATTCTTGTATTAACTTACATTTTTTCTCATCTTTAATTCTACTCTACGTTGTATGGTAGAGTTACTTTTTAGATAGCGTTATTCTCCAATCTGACATTCCATTGAGAAAAAAACAATCATCATATCGAATTAATGGATTTTAATCGATTGAATACGAGTGCCAGTGTAAGTTTGGAGTGATGATCAGGACTAGAGTGTTCATTTTATCCTACCTTAACTCATACAATAACTCTCATGTATTCATACAGTTTTCCACTCACTATCACACATTATTCTGACATCCATTTACTCATCTCTAATATTGCTGAATCAATGCGTACAATTTCGAGTAATATAAAAAAAAATAATCACACTAATTTTAGTTTCATGGACGTAAGTAAATAAATGTTTCATTTGAAATTTAAAATTCATATAATATTATTATTAAAAATTATCTTTATTTCTATTTTTAACATATTAGATGTTCATGGGTTAGTACACATAATGCATCCGATTCAGAACATTTTTCGTATCTACATGGACAGCGATTTTATTCGGGGACACATCAAAACAGGAATTTCGAAATTGAAAGACTGTTTGGACAATGCACCACTATACTTTGGTGTAAGTTAAGGCATTGAAAATAAAAAACTGATTTTTGATTTTTCTAGCCAGTCTCGGCATTTGTCAATTCTCTAGTTGAATGTACAATAGCATTTAAACTTCCTAATGGACATTTTTACTTTGCTCCTTATGCATTTGTTCGCAGTACTGATACCGGTTTTAAAATGGAAAATCCTACTATTTTCGATTTGGAAAAAGATGCGATTATCGCTAACGACTGTTTTTCGTAAGCAAACATTTTATATCTAAGAATTTAAGAATTCATTTCGTTTAATTTCAGTTTTTATATTGTCATGTGTAAAGTAAAAAATAGCATTTTTGAATTTAAAGATGAACAACAAAATGAAATATGTCAAATTAAACAACTTTGTGGTATAAATAAATATTTTGAAAATTTTTTAACAACTGAAACATATATGTGAATATGTATTTCATTTATAGGTACTATGATTAAAGTCGATGATGCATTTTTATCATCATTAGGAATACATGAAAAGAAAAACAAAATGAACAAAAATACTAAACATGTAACGCCTTCTAAATTAGTGGAACTTCTTAAAGTACATACTATACATATCATCCTTCGTCGCACTCATTGGGATCCTAAAAAAAACGAATTCGTACCAGAGCCAACGATTTTGTTTTGTTCGAATGCTTTCACACCTGGTAAATTACAAAATGATTATCATATACATAATATTTGATATCAAATATTTTTAATTTAGTTAATGCCTCAGTTCGAGTGCGTGAATATAATTACAGTCCAAACAAATTACAAATTACACAAGTTTCATCGGTTCAAAATGCCAATCAGTATAATTTGGTAGTATCGTATGTTGTAAGTGATCATTATCTGTTCTTTTAATCAGTACTCATTTTGTCTTGAAAAGATTTCGGAAATGTATAAATGTACAGCGTTGAAAAAGAAATATTTAAAAGCTTTAATATTCACTGACAATGAACAAGAGTCAAGCATTCATCCAAATTATAAGTTTATGACTGATGAAGGATCAGTTGATTCAATATTAATTCCTGTTGATCAATATGAATCTTCGTAAGTGGATGTGTAATTTTATTTTCATATGGATACTTGTAAAAGAATATCTTGCTTTAAAGAAATGAATAGATTTTGAAGAATTTATGTAAAATAGAAAAAGAAAAAGTCATCAAAATAAAAGAACTGAAATTTTTTTTTTAGTGTACTCTCGTTACTTTTTTGTGTAATATCTATAGATTGTATTTTTTTTTAGAGTAATGTTCAACATTACCAAACGTACTGTCAAGGAATGCGAAGCCGATTTCATATTAAATCAAGGTCTACCAGTTTCATCTTCGAATAGTCAAAGTACGTAAACTTTTCTTTTAAATACCTGTGTTCATTTGTTCTTCCTCTTTTTGTATTTACAGCTGTTCGGACGGTAACATTGGATAATTCTAGCATGAAGACTTTTCGAGTACAGTTGCAACTATGTGATTACTCAAACAATAATGTTGTTATATATCCAAGATCAACCGTTATATCCGATCCAGTGATTGATGGCGAGTTTTGTTGCTTAATTTGTATTATTTATAATTTGAATTTTTCTTACAGACTTTACTTCTTCTGAAGAAAATATTGTTTCTCCATTGCCAGTAAATGACAATTTAACAGAGGAGAGTCTGGATCAATCATCGGCACATATAAAACGATCATTCGAGAAAGAACCTCATGAACGTACTAGGTGGGTTTTTTCTTAATTGTACTTAGTATCGTATTAACTATCAATTTGAATTTTTCCCTTTTTTAGTTCACCGTTGTTGAAAACTCAAAAGCATGCGTAATTTCAGTCACTGTAATATTTGATTTAATCAAATTAAAAAAAAAACTTGATTCTTTTTTAATGTTCTTATTTTAAAAATAACAAACAACATATTAGTGACTAGAAGTCAAAAAACGATTATTTTATTTAAATAAAAAATAAAACACACTTAAACTGTCACTATTTGCAACTTATTAATTTCTATTCGCCAAATATATTAAAATCATTATCAGATGTGTAAATTGCTAATCGAACTGATATTTTCCTGTAAGTATTTCTTACCGAGGCTAGTGGAAGTGTCTGAGAGTTCACCTCATGCGCTCTCTTTCTCAAGTTATTACAATGTTACTGACTTTTTTAAATCTTTGGCAAGATATTTAAATGACAACACATAGGAAAAGCAAACCCTGATCAAAGCTGCCAGCAGGCTTATTGATCTTTCTGATTTTACGAATATGCTTAATTCTAGTACTCTGCATTAATGTATTATTCTAGTTCCAGTTATTCACTTAATTCATATATTCCAATAAACATAAAATAATAACGAATTCTTGCACGAAATGGTAAATTAAAACAAAGTTTTTGATCATATTAGTTCTGTTTCATAATATCTAAAAAATGCAATCATGACTGGACAAACAACATTAATTAGACCTTCAAGGAAGAGACAAAAGAAAATGTATAACGAAAATGAGGAGAATAAGCAAGGAAATTTACATTTGACAATCAATTTTCACAGTAGCACGAGTGCAAAATTCACCATCTAATTGTCTTAGATCTAAATAAGTCCTATGACACTAAGTTGACTTTGGGCTCAAGCATTTGTTGCTGAATTCGAATACATTTCTCCAAGTACTCTGCAATAGTAAGTTGATATGTCAGCATTTGGTTTTCAAAACGTGAGAACCAGTTCAACAACTATTACCTACCAGGTAGCTCTGATTCTTATAGGCTTCTACTAGTGTCGTCGGAGTATAGTTATAGGCAAAATATTAGCTCAATTGGCAAAATACAATTAGGGACTTTCTCTTGTAAAGCATGTCGTATTCTACAGAATCGTTTTATTTTGTATCGATATCAAATCTTTATTGGCAATAATAATAATTGATTGTTTCAATTTTCAGTGCTATGATATTTAGAAAAGTCGAATTTTTTTACATAACGTCTTATCATAGTCAACAGAAAATAAAATGAAATCTATTGAGACGTTTCTTCGATTGATTTCTTTAATACATGGCGTCTATGCATCGAAAGAGTTCTCATGTTCTGTTGTTTATGAATGTGTGATGCTTGCAGTAAGAGTATGATTCATTATTATTGCCGAAAAGAATCAATAACCATTGAGAAATTATATCTTCACCTCCTTGAAAATGTCATTTATGATATTTTCAAATATTCGGTGATTTTATCCTAATAAAAATTTTGTTGTTTAATTACTTTTCATGTATCCGATTTTATTTTTCTCTGTCATAAATAGCTGTACAATCCATTTCAATTAGTTATTTTTATTCTATTTGCTTAATGACACATGCAATATTTTATTTTCCAAGAACTTCTGAAAAAAGAAAACAACAAAAATACGAACTGGTAAAATTCCATATCGTTTGCCATTGTGTGACACTTATTCACTATAAATATTGGCACCAACTGCTCATTCAATCTTTCATACAAGTACTTCCTATTCAGAACAAGTTATTACACATATGCATCTATTTTAGATAACTATCAATCATGCCTTTCAATAATAATAATGAATATGAACTATCGGAGGAATTTGCATCGAAACTTATAAAGTAATTGAATGGAATTTATAAGAATTTTGATGCTTTATATTAATTTACAGATTGATTTCAATATTTTTATGCTTAAAATCGAATGACTGTAAACAAGAAGAATATGAACAAATAGTGGACTTACTATCTACAATAGACTATGATTTTTATGAAGAAGAACAGATATCAAAAGCTAATCCAAATCTGACATTTGAAGAGGAGCGAGATATACTAGCAGAAGCTATGAAACAATATGCAATTTCTCGTAAGTTATTCATATATTGTAAAATTTGATGATAGACTCAGTTAGTCAATATAAATAATTTAGATATCTTAAAAGGATTACGTGAACTTCGACAAAAACGAATTAAACATAAATCTAATGAAGAAAATCAAGGTGAGATCTTGAAAACGAAATCTTTATTTCAGTTCGTTTGATTGAATTCAAGCGAAAATATTCGAACTGTTTTTTAATCTTTATCTATTTATGATTTACTCTATATTTTATTTTTTAATTTTTAGATTGGATTAAATATGAAATTAAAGAGAATAAAATTGTCAGAACGATCTGGAAAACATGGTGTCATGAACGAGAATGTCGTCCCCGTGCTGGCATTATCTTATCATATTTTGATACTAAAGGTTTAGCAGAAGTAAATTCCTTTCCGAACATTGTTTTTTCAATTTAAATGTTTTTGCTATAGGTTCTCCTAACAAAATATTATAAAAACAATTATATTCAATATGGCTATGCTAAAGGTAAAATTGAACTCGGTGAAACTGTTTGGGATTGTGCTGCTCGTGAAGTAAATTGATAGAATATCTTGTTTTTTTTTAATGTGAAGAGGGATTTTTTTTTGAATTTTCTAGGGTGCCGAAGAATTAGGTTTGGATGCTAAAATTATTTACAACCTAATAAAATATAGTCAACCAATAAGAAAAAATGTATTTAATGTTGTGGAGAACTCATCAATAGAACATTATTATTTCATCATTCGTGTACCCAATAAAAACATGGTTCTTATGCCAAATGAAAAAGAAATTCATGTAAATATTCATATTGTTTTACATTTAATTGAATGGTCGTATAATCACTGTTTCCTTTTCATGAAACACGATCTAAAACGAGGGTCGAAGTATAAATGGTGTCGCATAAGTCCTGATTCTCAACAATCATTAATTTATTTGGAAACAAAGAGTAATTCCTACTCAGCTGAATGTATATGAGCTTCGACTGCTATATCACTGGTATAGCACTCGAAGCTCATATACATTCAGTTGAGTAGGAAATACTCTTTGTTTACATATAAATGTAACACACTATAGCCAGAGACCGTCACAAGTCTTCCATGAATGGCTACTATTCTTTATGATATTGAGCTGGTATTTAGAGTGCATACTTGCGACAAACAACTATGACCGCAAAGATCTACGCGCCCTCCATTGATTCATATGCACTACCGTTACGATTTAGAGAGCATCTTCGTCGTATGATCATCTTATCTCAATCATGTTATCTCGAATATTTTTGTCACATTCCTTATTTGAAAGGATAATGTCGTAGTTATGTCTAGTTCAAATTTCATTGGAAGAAAGTTTTAGAGCCGCAGCATGGAATAGAATCGACCAAGCGCTACGATATGGGTTCACTATTTCAGAGTGTACTCACTACTAAGATCTTGAATATATGTTGCAGGCTTTGGCGATATATAAAAAAATATTTTGAGTGCATATTTCCACTGAATATGTTTTTCATAAGGGAATGATCATGTGTGAATTAAACTCCAGTGCATGCAAACCGATGGAACATGGATTCGAGCGTATGATCAGAATTTATTCTCGCATGTATGCATCTAAGATATCAGGACTGTAGATAGAATAAAATAATCATTCTACAATAAGCAACATCAGCTACATTATGTTTCACATTTTAATCCCATAGGGATTTGCGTTAACAGGTTTTTTTTCTATGAATAGGGTACTGTATGGCATGATGTTTATCAATTACCATACTGTAATCAATGTCAAATAAAATCGCCAATGAGATTGAAAGATACTTTGAAAGAATCAAATTACTTTATGGTAACTTGTATCGATCGATCCGATCGTAATTCACTAGTTGAGTAGGTAGACTCGATTATATGGTTCATATAAATGTTAGATATTCTTTTTTATTGTAGAGATATTTTATTATATATAAACGAGACGAATGGAAATCAAACAGCTTCTCACAAATATAATAATATTCATCGACTATGTCATCATAATTAATAATGAATTCTCTTATTCAGTTCATTATTTGCCCGTTTATTTGATTTTATTCGTCAAATACGATAAAATTCAGATACAAAAATTAACTACGACAGATAATATCACAGAAGTCAAGATTTAGAAGATATGACAAACAAGAATCTCGCGATAGCTGTAGCTTTATGAAAGACATAATTAACTCTACTTAATTTTTTTTTTCATTGTCTTTCTTATAATCTAGAACTGTTATATTTTAAATAAAGTTCATTACATATTATTAAACTAATATAACTCCTGAATATAAAAAACAACAATTTGTTGTTTTGATTTTTAATAAAATAGATTAACAAGCATGTCGAATGACGTTCAATAAAAATGATTCTTTCATCTTAATGTTTATTTTGAGGGTGAGAGACTTTGGACATTGTTCAACTATTTTACTTCATATTTTTATTTTCTTTTTCAGTCTGTTGAAACTAAGAGAATCCTATTGAAATACTCTAAATAGATATGTACATTGAGCTTGAATGTCCAATTATATTCAATTGAATCTGACAATCAACAGAATTTTACAAAAAGAAGTGGGAAATCTTTTTTATTTAATAGAAAAATGTCATATAATGTTGTCAAACACCCAGATAATTTTATGTATAATGAACCGTATGAACGATTATCTGTAGATGGTCAGGAATGAAGAATTTCACGTTTTTTAAATTCTATTAATCAGATCATTATAAATCTTCGAAGAGTTTTGTCATAAAAAAAAGCATATAAGTCTCCCTCTCAGAATAAAAAGCTATGACATTCTATTTCGTGCTAGTTTTCTTTTTGCTAACATTTAGCTGGAAAATCTAGATTTTGTTAAAAAAACCTTTCTGATATTCAAATAGGCATTGTTAGGGACTTAGTGCTTCATTTACTAGGAGGAAAATAATTTTAATTGTATCCATTCGATTTTCGAAAAATGATTATGGAAAGATTATGATCTTCTATTTAGGGCGAGGGTATCAGATTGTGCAAGATAACGTTAGCAAACAGAAGCATCTACAAAACTAAATATAATTAAATAAAAAAATTCATCTCAATTAACAAGTTTGATTTTTGTGAAAACTTAAATCAGTAATAAATTACTCTTATGCCAGTCAATAAGTTCTGAGAACTCAAGGAAATAGATTCATATAAAAAAACATCAATCGATCTATTTACAAAAAATGTTCAAAGCCTTTATCATGATATTCGATACAAAGTTTTACCTTTTTAACTTTTCAAATGTTGTTTGCATTGTCATGAGGGGAAACTGCGGGTTCTTTCTGACTAAAGTCCGAGTTCATAAAAACGTTGATCTGCATCACTCGAAGTGCCATGTTGGAACATGATACAACTTGATGATAATGAGAATCCTTCTTTTTTTTTTTGAAGGCTCTTTTAATTTTCGGTTTTAATCATTAATTAAAGTTGCTGATAAAATCAACAGATACTGTAAAACGAATGAAAGACATTGTTGGTTTTGATATCATCATGTCTTAACGATACGTGAAAGGTATTTTTCTTTCTCCAACTATAATTTTGATTATGGTAAATTCTCTACATTTTTCAAGACGTCATGATCAAGCGCAGCCACTGAAAAAAAAACCAAGAAATTGAATTCAATACCTCGTGTTAGTTTTGAAAATTTATCTCAACAGTAAGTTAAAAGAATGAAAATTCGTATTGAATATCATGACAATTACGTCGAACATTTGCTGTAAAATGATCGATATAGATTTATCTGGTCTATATGAATTCTCACAACTTCTTGGTTAACCGGAATAGATAAGCTAAACTCATGATGTTTAAACATAGAAAGTAAATGAAAATATATATAAAACTTTTCCTTTGAATTCCTATATAATATGAGATCATTATCAATTAACAAAGTTGTTTTTTTTTCTTGTAAATTCCAACTCTTCCTTCCTCTACACACCAAAAAAAGACAAGGAAAATAAAAAAACATCATTCATTCTTTTCATTTCGAAGAATAATTAGCGATAAAAAAAACTATTCGTTTTGCTTCACCATACTATTCTCTACGCACCATAAACAGTGACTTATTCAACCATCTTACTTTTACTTGCAAGAATGTAAATCTTTTTTTCATTCATAGCTGCATGCACGTCCATGCTACAAATTGCTGAAAAATTGCTATAATGCTCATATAATTTTGGAAAAGAAGGTTGAAATTTAAGTAACAATTTGGATGATACTATTAATTCCAATTCAATTTTTTTCCATCAAAAGAAAGCTAATTTTCGAACATTGAGAGTTTTTATAAAATTTGATCCAAGTTTTTTGTAGTCGACAAATCTGATTCTGCAGATGATATGTCGAAATTCTAGAATATGATTTTTCGTTCAACGGCTATTTACTTTAAAACAATAGATAAATTTTATAAATTCCGACTGAATTAGACGAAATAGGCTTCATCTAATTGAAAAAACGAACTCGAAAATCTCGATCAATACTGTAGATTCGGATTCTTCGATCTCGAAAACCGTTGGTCTAGCTTCATAAAAATTCACTATTTTCTAAAACATAATCTTGAATCAAGCGAAAAAATTCATTTGGAATAATATAGTTCTTATTTTTAGGTATACTGCCACTAAAACTGAGTGACTACGTTGCGAGATACATCTGCTATTGTGGTCACCATGTGGTTAGTTAATGCGTATGTGGAGCTCAAGCAGGGCTATTAAAGCTGCCTCTAGGTAACAGCTCATAGCGCAAAGTAGTCGAAGTACAGGGATATTCTTCCTTAGCTATATCTTCCATTTTGATCCTGTTTTCCAAAAGAGTAGAAGCAGCATTACTAAGTTTCAGTATCTTTTGATACTGAAATGCTGGAAAGACGGACGCTGAGGTGTCGACGTTTTCATACTTATAGTTTTGTCTTTGCAACAAATATTAAAGAGCATTGCTTTAAATAATCTTCAATGTCTTGTACACTTCTAGCAATGGATGATCCGGTACGAAAAAAAAATACCGAATGTTTAAATTAGAAAATTTCGTGTTTACGAAATCTGAAGAAATGAAAACGTAAGTTTTGAATGAATCTTTCTACTCATTGTCGATGCAGAAACAATTTTCATGAGTATTTTTCATAGATGTGATCCAGTACGAACAGCAATCATCATTCAAAGAATGCCTGAAATACAAAACACAAAAGGGGCTTAGCTGCAAAATCACACTAAAAGTATCAGTTCTTTAGTTTTTCCTTTTCTTTTTTCTGTATTTCACTTCGTTTCTTTTTATTAAATAAGTGAAAACAATGTTGTTCGATCATTAATCTTAAAAAAAAAGAATGCACTTGTTATGGGTATTTTTATTACTGTGAATACTTCAAGTCAATAGGATGTATTGAATTACAATTGTATAAAAAATAAAATCATTCACCATTAAAATGAAGCACAAAACATAGATTTAGAATTGAATGACAGTAATGGATTTGTACCATGTATTAAAATAAAATTGTATAATAAATCGAGATTAACTAACAAGTAACATTGAGTTTTATTGAAAAACAAAACAAAACAAAACAAAACAAAACAAAACATAAAACATTTTGTTATTATCGAAGACTTTAACCAAAAAATGTTAACTTTCTCATTATTGATACAATTAGAGAAAGCTTTTTAAATCATAGCTTATAGATTATGATCTTGCATAAGAGACGCGAAAGAAAAAAAAACAATCTTATTTGATGTTAGAAAATATCTTTTATGAAATTCAAATATATTAACCCACTATACCATCAAAATCACACCAGTTCTGACGATTAATCGCTATATTTAAAAAGCAAATGACATAAGAATCATCTACATATAAATTATTCGTATATTTTTATTTCTGAAAGCAACAAAACCAAATTTTGATGATTTTGCCTTAAAAAAATATTTTCAGTATTGTCAGGGCATAGTATCTGATAGAAACTGTGGATTGTA